GGAAGAACAAAAGAAGCTTACTCGGTTTTCAAGAGAATGAGTAGTGAGATGAGGTGTGAGCCGAGTGCAAACACGTACGCGATTGTGGTGAGGATGTTTTGTAATGAAAACCAATTGGATATGGCAATTGTAGTTTGGGATGAGATGAAAGACAAGGGCATCCTTCCTGGAATTCACATGTTCTCGACGATGATCATTTCCTTGTGTCGTGAAAATAAGTTGGATGAAGCATGTAAGTACTTTCAACAAATGTTGGATGTTGGGATTCGACCTACTGCGAATATGTTCAGTGCCTTCAAGAGTGCTCTAATGGATGCGGGAATGGAGAATACTGTGAAACATTTTGCTCTGAAAGTTGATAAACTGAGGAATACTCCATTAATTGCTTAACTTAACCTTACACAAAGGAATTCCAGGATGTTGGGAGGTTAATAGACCCATCTAAATCACACTAAGATATCTTAATGATTGTTTGACTACCTTAAGCTTCTAGTCTTTGACTTCACTGGCTCTCCCTCTTGAGATTCTCTGTTCAACTTTGCTATGCTATATTTCCTAAGATGTTATAGAGTGATGTGTTTAGACGTCAACTCTGAAATAGTCAGATTTGCTGCAAGTGAAGTCCTATGACTGTATGTTTGGTTATGCGGTGGTGGAGAGAATTGATTTTGAGGGATTTGATTTTGTAGAATTGATTTTCTAGTTAAAAAGTGAGTTAGATGTAAAGTGATTTATGTTTGGATATGTTTATGGAAAACTAAGTTGAACAACAAATTTTATTATAAAAATCACATTTAAATTCAAAAGTTACAAATTGTAACTTAAAGTATCACTTCCAATTTCTGAGGCAGTAGAAGAAGTGCAACTTAAGAGGATTCTATTTTCAATAAATTATTCTGGGTATGAATCTCATTTATGAAATATATTCCTTTGTACTTAACTGAATTTTGCAAATGTCAACAGGATCAGCACCATGAAATGAAAGCGCCTAAAGTGCAAGATTCATTATCTTGGAGAAAGCGCAAAAGCCAGTTTGTGGTAGCCGAGGGTGCTGAGATTGTTGCTGCTGCAGCATCTAGCTTAAATAAATTTGCTAATGATGGAAGCTTGATGAACTGATTTTTTAGTCAGTTTTTTATGTCATAAAGAACTCCATTATTTTTATTTTATAGACTCATAATTTGCAATTTTTATTATCATCAATATGACAGCATGAATCAGCTACAAGAACTGTGGATGATAATGTATGGGTAGAGATCCGAAACTTCAAGAAATACCTTATGATGATGTTTGCAAAGCAAGATAAGGAAGTAGTGTTTCTTGAAACTGTGATGGGATTGGCACAGCAACGGCGCCATTGTATGATTGAGTGCGTTCCTTTACCCAAAAATATTGCTAAGGATGCTCATTTATACTTTAAGAAGGTCAGATATTAAACTTTGTTATATTTTGTAGTTCTGCATTGCTCATATTTGTCTCTCTCCGTAATTCATGCTTTTCATTTATGCATCCTTAAAATGAACTATTAATAGGCAGCACATAATTGTATTACAACCTTGTGTTTTTAAAAGCCAACATGAAAGTATTATTAGCTTTCCTTTGACACAATACAATTACCATCTTTTGGGGAGTAACTTGTTAAAACGATTCTAGTATGATTAAAATTATCTACTCAGGTTCATAGGATGTCCTTCATGGATGAATATCAAATATATAGTGCAAACTGCATATAAGAATATGAGCCACAAATTTGATAGTGAAAAGATGGAGTGAACCTGCATCATTTTTGTTCCATGGTGTTACTTCACTCTCATTGCATAAGGTGGTCTAATGGGAGATTTTTCTGAGCCTAAAACGAAACTTGTCGTGTTTAAATATGGATAGTTGAATCTAAAACCAAACACATCCACCCCAACCCCCGACCCATATAGAAAACTGGATTAGTTTCTAGATCAGCTAAAAAATTGCTTTATTTTATTTTGGAGTGTAGTTCTATTCAGTTTATAAGCTTTTTGCACAACCCTTATCATGCATGTTCTTCTGATGAGTGTACCACATGCGGTTAAAACTTAGTTGAATGCGAACCTGTAGAAATGGAACATATTTGTTTACACGATGTTTCTGCTATCACTCATTTACCTATTTTTCACTTGGGATTATTGTTCCAGTGCTATTATTGTTGTTGACTGCACATTCCTTTCTATTCATGATTCCATTTCTGTTTTTGTTTCTATTGTTTCAAACCATAAACTCACTGTCTGTTTGTAAAATGGCTTAAATCACAGGCAATTGAAGAAGCAGAAGACGAGTGGAGTCAGCACAATGCGAAAAAACTGATTGATACCAGTCAAAAGGGTCTTCGCAACTCAATTCCCAAAGACTTTCCATATTTTCACCTTGAATTTGGCTTAAACAAGGGATTGGTTCATGTCATCGACGACGAAAAAGACTTAAAAAGTAGCCTTGATTGAATGTTCTAAGAGGCATGCTGCATTTACCCGAGGAAGATATGTACAGACGGCAGAGGTATGCAGCATTGGACGTACAGAAGCAAGCAGTGGCTAGCTTTTCCAAAGAGTGGAAACAGTTTGACTGGACAACACAACTTCATTGACATTTTTTCTAGTATTTATAGTCTGATAAAAACAAATCATGCATTGTAACAAAAAGAATCAATGGAGTAAACAAATCATGCATTGTAAAAAAAAAAGAATCAATGGAGTAAAGTATTAAATGAGTCACTCTTTTTAATCAAGTATCAATTATTTTATTCTAGTAGCAACTATGCTAATGGTGATTACACAATTAGTTTTAATTTATAAAAGAAAAAACTTCACACTAGTTTTAATTATTAGAAAATCAATATATTTATATACCTGCTCACATCAAATTACTATATTTATTGCCACCTTTCAAATACAATATATACTTTTTTGTCAAAAGAAATTACTAATAGCCAAATTCACAAGTTACAACTAAGGTTTCATCTAATGCTTGCATAAACAACTACTAGACCTGATTTCTTTTTTTACTAATAGTTCTGTAATCCTCTTAAGTTGCACTTCTTCTACTGCCTCAGAAATTGGAAGTGATCCTTTAAGTTACAATTTGTAACTTTTGAATTTAATGGTGATTTTTATAATAAAATTTGTTGTTCAACTTATTTTTTCATAATTATATCTAAACATAAATCACTTTACATCTAACTCACTTTTTAACTAGAAAATCAATTCTACAAAATCAAATCCCTCAAAATCAATTCTCTCCACCACCGCACAACCAAACATACAATCATAAGACTTCACTTGCAGCAAATCAAACTATTTCAGAGTTGATGTCTAAACACATCACTCTATAACATCTTAGGAAAACTAGTTTAAATTACTTACTCTTTGAAATGAGAGAGATTGAATACATAAAAATAGAAAAACTACCGAGCGCATGGTAATGAGAAGTTAAAAACATAGCAGTTACTTTTATCAAAACAAAAAATAGCAGTTACAACTTACATTATGTAGTGTTGGTATTTTTTTTCAAATTTTATTCAATTATATGGACCCTCCTACCTTGGTCTTAATTTTGCAATGATCTAATGTACCTATAGCACAAATAAGCCCAGCTTAAATCAAATGAAACTTAAAAAAAAGTATTCGGAAGAAACTACCAATTCCTCATAACTCACGCCGCTCTAGATCGCCAGCCTCCTCCTCCTTGCTTCTCATCTAGCTCCTATTTTTCACCTCATCCGCCTTCCCCTTGCTTCTCATCCCATCCCTATTTTCCACCTCATCCGTCTCTTCCACATCTCCTATTCCGTAAGTTTTCTTTTCATTCCGTTTACTTTTCTATTTATCATACCGATTTTGTTTCCACTTGCTTGCACACAAATTCCGTTTTCTTTTCATTCCGTTTACTAGATATGTTACTTATTTAATTAATCTAATTTTTTTTCCTCTTATAGTAACAAGGAGGAGAGGTATCAAAATGAAAAAAAAAATTGGTGTAAGAAAATATCAATTTCTAAAAAATGGATAGAATATTTATCCACATGACACACAAATAGGGTGCACCATACATCAAACAACAATCTCCGGACTCATATTCCATTCATTGATGTTAGATAGTAATACAAAATACACTAATATATAATTTTTCTTACAAGTACAAAACAAGCGGCTGAAGACTACACATCATCACATTGACATGTACTGTAATAGAGCAACGCCTAGTTACAACTGTAAAAATTAAAAGTAATTTTCATGAAATTACACTAAACAAAAATACATTTGAAAAACTCAATAACAATCCTATCATAATTCATAGATTGAAAATTCCATCCTCACCGAAACCCTAATCAACAAGGATATGGCTAATTCAACGACTCCATTCCCAATCCCATCCTCACCCAAACCCTAATCAGCTCCTTCACTTCCCTTCTTCATCCACCGTCTCTCAATCTTCTCTCCGTTCCACTTTTGGTAAGATCACCACACACCTTCAGATCTGCATTTTTTCCCTCTTTTCTTTCCCTATTTTGATTTTGATTCAATCTTTGATTTGCATGCTGCGCGTAACTCCTTTTCCGAGTTTCAATCTATGCATAATTGTGACTCATACTCGGTTTTCTATGTTGCCATTTTTAATTTTTTTGTATGAATTATGAATTACTGTAAAGGAAAGTTGAAACTCCCAAGTTTTAGTTAAACTGAAATGATTGTTCTGTAATGTTTTTCGCTATGATGCTTAATAATGGCTAAGACGTATCTTCATTTAGCTATGTTGACCATTTGTACATTATTTCGGTATAATCTTGATTATATTATTGTGGAACTAAATTAAATTCATCTTTTAGTTGAATATGCAAGAGTGATCAGCAGTATGTACCCATTAATTAACATTATGTTGGCATTTGCAGCCTTAATCAGTAAGATACTGTTGGGGCAGGGCCACCTAATGATAGGATTTCCAATTTATGCATAAGTTTGATTCTTTTTAATAGAATGGATCCAGTGTCTGCTGATGTGTCTAAGCCACCTTCTGTGAAAGTACCAAATGCGACACATCCTGCTTACGAGGATGATGGTCAAGCTTCTGCTGCCGTAGCATCTGGACAAGATAATTCTGCCCCTGAAGCACCGTCTAGGCTATCTCCCACTGGCATATCTTCTTGGGCCAAAAATTTAAAAGTTTCGCCGTCGTTTTCTGGATCCCAAGACGAGTCTTCTAGTGGAAATGTTGGGAAATCAGCCTTTGCACGCCTTACAAGTAATCTGGGATTGCGGTTGTCTCCGAAGTCTCCTGTGGATGACAGTCCCAATGAAACAGCAGCGCAATCTAATTTGTTTGGAACTATCACAAAGGGTCTGGTTGACTCTTCGAAGAATGCGGTGAAAGCTGTGCAGGTTAAAGCACGTCATGCTGTTTCTCAAAATAAACGCAGATACCAGGTGTTGTCATCGTTCAAATGGTTTTACTGTGTTTTGTTTTTGGAAAGTTGATAGTGTTTTACTCTTACATATCTGAACAGTTTTCCGTGTCTTCTTTTGGATTATTGTTAACCTTGGTTCTCTGTTGCTTTCCCTTTTTGTACAATAGTTTAAATTAAAACTTATCTTTTAGATCTTCTTTATGGATATGTTTTATAAGTAATTATTATTATTATTATTATCTATTATTTAATCAAGTGTTTTTTTCCCGGCTCTCGAGATCATCCAGTCTCATAGCTGGCAATGAATTTATAAAGCCCTGAATTTTGTAAACATATTTTCCTACTTCCTTTTAGTATTCAAAATCAAAATGCCACACAATATTTGATGTTTATTAGTACTTCAGTTTGATGAACATTCTAACTGCATTAGTTGAGAAAAGCTGTTAGAAATTTAGAACATAATTATTGTCGTGACTTGTGAGTCGTGATAATTTGTTTTTCATATTTCTTTGTTTCACACTTATGTTCTCCCCCCTTATGAATTTTTGGCTAATATGTGCTATTGTCCTTACAACCTCTTTTTTTTCTTTCTTTCAGGAAGGAGGTTTTGATTTAGATATGACATATATCACAGAAAACATTATTGCAATGGGGTTCCCTGCTGGTGACATGAGCTCTGGGTTTTTTGGTTATGTTGAAGTGAGTTAGTAGAATTTGAAGCACTTTGTTTTGCTCGTTGTTTTCATCTTTAACATAAGTGTTTTGACATTCTAGTTTCTATGTATGCAATGCAGGGATTTTACAGAAATCATATGGAAGAAGTGATCAAGTTTTTTGAAACTAACCATAAGGTACAAAAGGCGTGTTCTAACACGTGACTTCATGGGTTGTTCTACCTATTTCTTTTTATGTATTTTTTTATTAGTCAAAATCTACATTGTATATTGTATGGATTGTTGTTTTATTTTATTTGACAGTCTATACCAGAACATATTTGAAATTAATCTCAAATATTGTTTATGGTCATACAAGCTCCTCCTTTGCTTGGCACATTTAGCCACAGCTTCTGAATTTCTGATATGTATGACAAGTCTGTTTACGCTTGTACATATTTCAATTTCTTCCTCTATCCCCCACACTCCCTTTCTATGAGGCATATTGTTAGGTACCGGGGTTGAGCCTTACCCCCAACAAATTGGCCGAATAAAGAGTTAGTCAAAATTGCTTATGTGGCCAATCTGTTAGGGAACTAAAAGGGAGATATATAAATGATAGAGATAGCAAGAGGAAAGGTTTTGAGGCAGCCGGTTATAAACCTTATGGTTTGGTCAGAGAGAAAAATGTCTCTTCTCCGAGGAGCTCTTTATTCGGCCAATTTGTTGGTCATACAAGCTCCTCCTTTGCTTGGCACATTTAGCCACAGCTTCTGAATTTCTGATATGTATGACAAGTCTGTTTACGCTTGTACATATTTCAATTTCTTCCTCTATCCCCCACACTCCCTTTCTATGAGGCATATTGTTAGGTACCGGGGTTGAGCCTTACCCCCAACAAATTGGCCGAATAAAGAGTTAGTCAAAATTGCTTATGTGGCCAATCTGTTAGGGAACTAAAAGGGAGATATATAAATGATAGAGATAGCAAGAGGAAAGGTTTTGAGGCAGCCGGTTATAAACCTTATGGTTTGGTCAGAGAGAAAAATGTCTCTTCTCCGAGGAGCTCTTTGTCTGGTTACATGGGTTCATCTTAGTTAATCCTTTTCAATTAATAATACATTTTCTTCTTCTCTTTGATTTGGGTTCCTATCACATATACGAAGATATGAAAAGAAGGAAATGTTGAATTGCTGAACAAGTTTTCTTGAGCCTGTTTTCATTTCTTTACTTTGGTTATCATAAACTATTTTGTGTAATATGAGCACCTGCTTCATATTTTTGTTATCCTGCCACTTTGCATGCATACGTTGTAGTTTGATGGACGGTTGAATTTTATGGGAAGCATCTTACATGACGTTTTATTTTTCTGCAATGACTTAAAGTTTAACTCTGAAACTTGACGAGTCTTTGCCTTATTTTCTCGTCAAATTTTGTACTTGACTTGTTTTTTGATATGCAGGGTAAATACAAAGTGTATAATCTCTGTTTGGAGCGGCTGTATGATGCATCGTTGTTTGAGGGGAAGGTAATTTCTGATTTACTTGAGTCTTGAAGAGGACAATTGTGTTTGTTAGAACCATTAACCTTGTTGTAAATTTCTTTTCAACAACTTGAAAAATTATTAATGAATATTTTTTTATATTAGAATTGATATATTACTTAAATTTTAACCTTTAATTTTATGAATCTTATTCAGATTATGTATTCTTAAATTAACTATTATTCATACCATCTGTTTGTAGTCTTGTTCAAGATGCTAGACAGCCTATATTGTATCATGTTTCTGTTTAACTTGAATTTTATGTTTTTATCCTGTATTTCAATGAAGTTTGTTTGAGCAGCTTACATCTGAAATATTATATTCCTTCTTCAGGTGGCTAGCTTCCCATTTGATGACCATAATTGCCCACCGATTCAACTGATTGTATCATTTTGTCAAAGTGCTTACTCATGGTTGAAACAAGACATTGAGAATGTGGTGGTTGTCCACTGTAAAGCAGGAATGGCCAGGACAGGGTTGATGATTTCCAGTCTTCTACTATTCTTAAAGGTTAATACTACCTCTGTCCCAAATTATAAGTCACTTTACAAAAAATATTTGTCCCTAATTATAAGTCACTTTAGAATCCCAATACAACATTAATGACTTTTTTCCTAATATACCTTTTACCATTTATTACTTTTTTTCCTTCCTATTCCTTTAGTTTGCTTTCCAATGTAATTAATGAAGGGCAGTTTTGTAAAGTCATAGATCATTTTACTTTTCCATAAAATAATAATTGCATTTTACTTTCCATAAAGTAATAATTGCATTTCTTAATTCGTGCGAAATACCCAAAATGTTTTATAATTTGTGACGAAAGGAGTAGTTTCTAGGCATTTTCTTGAAAATACTATGAACATGCTTGATCATTTTCATCTGTCTTGTTGCGTTGCTTAATTGTTTTTGGATTTGGATTAAATGTACTGCAGTTCTTCCCAACTGCTGAGGAGTCAATGGATTATTATAATCAGAAAAGATGTATTGATGGAAAAGGACTTGTTCTGCCTAGTCAGATTGTAAGTTCATCTTTATGATATGTTATTGTTGCAAAATTGTATTATGGAGTTACTACCTACATACGCATTTATTCTCATATGTTATTTTATTAATTTTTTTAATTTTCTTTCTATAGAGGTATGTCAAGTATTTTGAACGGATCCTCACTTACTTTAATGGTGAATGTCCACCTCCCCGCAGGTATGTACCGGTGAAAACATTACTTTGATATTTCTCAGTTTTCATGTGCTGGCTGACATAATATTTTGTGCAGGTGCATGCTTAGGGGATTCCGGCTTCACAGATGTCCTTACTGGATCAGACCCTCTATAACCATTTCAAATCATGACGGTGTGCCTCAAATTCTTGTACTAAATATTGTCCTTCTGTTTACAGTCCATGTCCTCCCTGTTAGTATATTTAATATTTATTGTTATTTCCAGTTCTAGCGTTGAGCTTTTTATTTCTTCCTTTTGTTGACCTGTCTGCTGTTTACTTTTTTTAATTTAATGTTATGGTTTTAATTTTATGGACATCTGCAAGACTGCTGATATTGTACTGGACAAAATGTTGGGCTGTAAAAAATGAACACGAAAATAGACTAAGTGTAGTAGTGATGAAGATGTTGCATTGAATGTGTGGTAAGACTAGACTAGATAAGATTAGAAATATAGCAGATTTAGAAAGAATGTTGGGGGTAATACCTATAGTGGAAAAGAGGTGGAAACTAATCTTAGGTGGTTTGGGCATGTAGAGAGAAGACTTGTGGATTATATAGTAAGGAGAGTAGATCAGATAAAAGGGTAAAGGAAGACCTAGAAAAACTATAAGAAGCTATTAAGATATCGAGATTAATGAATTGGATAGAAACATGATTTTTGATAGAACAATATGGCGTAGTTTGATCAATACAGCCGACCCCACATAGTGTGATAAGACCATGGTGGTCAATCTCGGATAGCAGCGCGAAGTGGCTGACTCCAAAAGTGGGATAGCGGGATGACCGTTATTTGATCATATTTTAGAAAATTACATGAATAACTATAAAAATATATTGAGCACAAAATTAAACAAATAACCCAATTCATAAAAGATTCATAAATCAAAGTGGATGCTACTCTGTTCCACGCCACAAAGGCTCTTCTCATAGCGACCAGCCTCTGCACCGCTCCGCTATCCTGCTATAGTGCCGCTATTGTTCGCTCGCTATTGACTACTCTGGCCTGGATCAGGCCTGGTGGTTGTTGTTGCCAGTATGGTTTTGAGTGTACTTTGATCACTCAATCATGTAAATATAAAAAATTTTAACCCACAAACAGTGATCCAACTCAGGCATATTCACAATGTTATGTTTTACTTATAGCAGTGATAAATTGATACATATATTTTGTACATGATATATTAGTTGACTCACAGATGACCCTTTTGAAAGGGTGAAGTGTGAGATTTTGGTCCGTGAGAGAGACTGCCCAATTTACTGTTGACTCGGTTTTCAAATTTGTAGGTGTGTTGTTCTCAACCAAAAAGCATCCAAGAACCAAAGATCTTTTGGTGCGTCTCATTAATAATATTGATTTCAATTTATCAAAATATTGATTAAATTGTTCTGCCAAAGCTGTGGCGTTGTGCCTTTTTTTTTATCGTTTTTTTTTAAGTGTGGGAATTTCTGACATGATCTCATTATTTGCAGCCAGAAGATTTTTGGTTTACTGCACCAAAGAAGGGAGTTATGGTCTTTGCTTTACCTGGAGAGCCTGGTCTCACAGAGTTGGCTGGTGACTTCAAAATTCACTTTCATGATCGCCAAGGCGATTTTTACTGGTAATTAATTTTCTTCACAATCTTCAATTACCTCTGCTTTCTATCTCATGTTGAACTGAAATGTCTCTTTCTCTTTTAGTTGGTTAAACACAACTATGACAGAAAACAGGAAAGTTTTGCTCACCAGTGATCTCGATGGCTTTGACAAGGTAAAAGCTGTTGTGTTTCTTTCATGATACTCTCTTTAATATCTGCAGTAGTGGTGGCTATCTAGCTTTCTTTCTTTCTTTATTTTTCTGAAAACTCGGTATCTGGCCATGTGACTGACTTATCCAAGGGGATCAATCCCACCGTCCACTAGTGGTGTCCGTATAAAGCCAAACCAAAACTTTGTATGGACTATCTAGCTTTTATTATTCCAAGGACTATTTTCAAATCATCCCGAGTCAGCTCTTGTCACCTAAGTTCCTCCCAATCACCCAATTAATAAAACCCTCCCTCCCTCGCCCTTTAAAAAACGGTAGAGAAATTTGGTGATCTTTTTGGAGATTGAGAGAATGATCTGGCTTCTGTGTAGTGCCGTGTTTCTATTTTTGTCATCTAAAATAATTTAGGTCTTGTAATTAAATGTATTTTTCATTTGAATGGTTTTCTGGCAGAGAAAATTGCCTTCTCCAGGATTCCAGGTTGAGGTTGTGCTGGTGGATTATAATGGCAATGTTGTAACTTCCAATTCTGAAGCTACAAAGAAATCAGACGAGAGTTCAAGCAGAAGTCCTGCCCCAGCTGAGACGAGCACCCCCGCACCAAATGCAGACAAAGAGTCAGGGGATGGGGATCGAGACAAAGATGACGATGTATTTTCAGATGGTGAGGCAGAGCATCCCGCTTCTTCACGAAGCAAACAAACAAAGGCACCTTCCGAAGCAGTTGTAACAGTTGCAAGTACCACCAAAGAGTCTGAGGCAAACAAAAATTCAAATCAAATAACAAATATAACTCATGCAACAGAACAAGTTTCTTTGGGTAGTAAGATCTCTACACCAAGTCATAGTACTGGTGAGCCGAAGAGTGATGTTGGTGGAAAAACTGTGTCCAGTCTCGATGGACCCAGCTCAGAAAGTGAGTTTAAGGCCATGGCTGCAGATGCTTCCGTGTTTACGTTTGGAGATGATGAAGACTATGAAAGTGATTGAAGTTCAACAGGGTTACCCTATGCTCTCTCTATACTTCACATCTGTACATAATATTGCCTGCAACTGTATTCAACAATATCATGTTCATCCATTTGTTTGTTTGTTTGTGTTGTAATGAAAAACTCTGGCGACAGTCACTGGCAATGCACTAATTGAAAATAAGAACGTACTCACTTTTTGTTATTGATTTGTCGTGTAATGTTCCATTGTTGAGTACATTGACATAATAGCCATTTCATGTTTATATGTTATTAGTCTTTTTGTCTATAATTTAAAAGTAACATACATCATTAACATTACAATATTAACATGTTAGTTGTTTTTGTTAAAAAATGAAATGAAATTATAATGTTTCTACAAGCACACTTGTTATGATGAAGCAGTTCCCATGCAGCAATGCATCATCAGGTTATGCGGGGAAATGTCTGCTTGAGGACTTTGTTTAAACCATACATATTTTTTTTGAAGGCTGCAGAAAGTTTTTGCAAATGACAAGTACATGTTTGAATTGAAGCATTGAAAATTTATTGTGAATGTTTTAAATTCAAACATCAGAAATAATAATAAAATAATAAAAGTAAAAAGAAAAGGGTAAAACTAAAAAGTTAGTATATGCACGCCATTGACTGAAAGGGTAAGAAAACAAAGGCGATGTTGTCTATGTTGGTTAGGTTATTAGTGTTAGCTAGTGGAACTGCTACTCTTTCAGACTTTGCACACCTTTTCAGTGTTTTTGTGTCTTCCCTTCCTTTTTACTATAACAGTACTGTACCAACAATGGAGTCTAAATCTTAACAAAAAATGCATGTCAAATAAATAACCCTAACAATCTTTGTGTACTTTGTTAATCATTATTTTAATGCATTAAGTAACAATTTGAGATTTTGGTTGTTTTAGTAATGTAGTATGGTACATTTTGTATACGCTCCAGTTTTTTTGTATTCTTTGTTTGCTTAGTAGTGATCCTATTTATTAGTTTTATATTATCAATATTCGATCCGTAGACAATAGAGCCAGGAATCATAAATATCAATATCAGACTTTCTTATTTAAAATTAAATAAATAAATTTCCATGTGGTGTGAAGCATGCGTTTTGTACAGAAAAGAATAATGAACCCCTTTTTAGGAACAGATATTGGTAAATCATAAAAAGGTTAACCAACCGTTCAGTCATGGAAGTACTTGTTCTTAATTATAGATATGCATTTTCTTTTAGGTTATGATATTCATAAACCAAGTTTTGCTTTACTTTGGGTATAAAAGAAGGGGATTATTTTTCTGAGTATTTCCCCACCACCATAAAAAGTTATACTTCAGACCAAACTTATATTTTTTATACATTTTTTAGTGTAAATTGATGAGATATTTTTATTTTATTAAAATTTAATTCGGAGATACATTTTTGTATGAATATAAGATTTATTTAGAGATCTATATCCATATAAACCGTTAATTTAAAATTTATTTAAAGTTTAGGAGTTTTTTTGTATAGAAGAAATCAGGCGATCGAGTCTTTGTGTATCTTGACTGCACTATAGCAGACAACATTGCCTTCTGCCCATATAGCAGTCACCGCGAGACGCATAAGCTGAACATCATTTCATTATACTCCGGATGATGACATGTGGGTCAGGTATGATGTATCCGTATTTGCTAGAGGCGAGTGATGCGAATTTGGGTATTTACAAAACATTCTGAGACATTTATCAAAGTTTGCTCCTCCCACCATCCGTCACAGAGATCTGGTGCAATACTTGAGGATTTCGAAAGTCATTTGGTAGCTAAAGTGTATTGCAGGGTGCCAACTCTTATACATTGAAATTATTCAGACGACTACATGACATGGTACTATAGGGTGTCACACTGTATCATGACACTAGATGTCCTTGAAAGACGACATATGTCATCTAATCTGGAGGTGCTTAAAGTTAGGGATGACCACACCGAACACATAAGCAACATCTGTCAGTGTATTGTGAATATGGCGAGATCGGGCATAAAGGCATGACTCTTTGAGGAAGACAATTCTCTGTTGGCCTCGCAGAAAACATTATGGTTGAGGCACGAAAGGCCTTGCAGTATAGGTGGAGGAGAAACCAGGGAGTTAGACAAACCTAGTAATTTATGTTTATTTGTATTATTTTTTGTATTTTCGAAGCAAGTTATGTATGGTTGATACATTTTGATTGTACTTTAATTAATGTGTGATTTTTTTACTTTGATTTTACTTTAATTAATGAATGACTTTTTTACTTTGATTTTATTTTAATATAACTTGGCCTAAAAATATTAGATTGTTGCCTTGAAACCATTCAGGGGATTTTTGGAGATGCATCTTTAAAACATTTCGTGTGCAATAAACACGCTTCCAATATCTTCTAAATGACTTCAGGGGACTATTTGGAGATGCAAATCGGGATACACCCAAAAAATTTACGAAGATACATCTCCGAACTATAATTTTAAAAAATAGTGTGTGACTGAATTACAAGGGGGTTTATGTGATTTTAAGTACACCCGAAAATGTATCTACAAACAAAGAAATGATATTTTTCGAGTTTCTTGAAATGTGGAGCGCACTCCATAAGGTGGAAATAATTTCCCTAAAAGAAGTACAATGAAAAATAAAGGGCATTACTTTTTCCACCTTTATATTGGCATACCCTTAAAAAACCAAAATTGCTCTTCATGCGTCCGAAGATTTATCTCCGGACGCACTAAAATCTCAGCAAACTTCCCTATTATGAGGTCCACCCCAGCTTGAACTAATATGGTCCAAAGACGCATCTTTGTATGTTATTTGAGCATATCCAAAGACGCATCTTCGAAATGTTCCCTGAAGCATTTAAAAGGTGCTGGAAAGGTGATTTATTTCGGAGATGCATCAATAAATACCCCTCTGAATCATTTTAGAGCATCACCATTGTCCAACCATCGCAATCTTTTGCGACCAACTTGTATTATAGTAAAATCAAAGTAAAATTGATGTAAAATAATGTTAAAGAAAAAAAATCATACAATAATCCAAAACATAATATTTGTCCAAAAATACGAAAAAAGGAAGTAAAAATCCAAACATAAACTAACTATTGGGTATGTCTAACCTCACCTCCTCTGCCGCCTGTACTTTACAACATCTAGTAACTTGGAGACCATGGTCCCCACGAGGGCTTTTTGGAGAGTGTCAGTCTCAAAGAATTATGCCTCTATTGCTCCTTTAACCATATCTGCAACATGTTGACAAACCGCCGTCAAGCTCTCGGCCTGCTCATCTTGAACCTTAAATGTCTAGGTTAGTTGACTTAGGTGGTCATTTAGGAGCGTCTGATGTCATGATAGGGTGTGACACCATATAAAACCATGTCATGTAGCCCTAAGCATAAGCCTCGTGTACATGAACGGAATCCCGTCCATACTTTTCTGGTACCAGGTGACTTGAAGTCATCCAGTATAACACCAAAATCTTTACAACGGACTCTAGGTGGAGCGACCTCATAAGGATGTCTCGTAATTAGCTACATGTAGCCAAATCGGAGCATCACTCTCCCGGGAAGATAAGGACACATAAGAGATTACCTGCATGATAGTCATTCGAAGTATAAGGAGATGACATCAAACAAACGTGTATGACAATGACCCTCGTAAGGGCATAAGCAAACGTCAGCTAGTACAATACGATCAAGAGAGATTATGAATGGCTCGACCACACTATTCCCTTTGTACAAAACAATAGTAACTACACGTGGTTAGTCCTTATCGTAGACAGGCGCAATTTCAAACCCAGTGATGTGAGGGAAGTGAAGGATGATCTATCCCTGAAGATTGTTCGAATATAATACTAATAACATGTGTTACTAATGAATTATAAAAATATTAGTAACAAGAAATTATCGTAAAAAATATGAATGCCCTGCCATCTGCTTTGTCTTCCAAAGACAACTCTCACTTAACTTCGACTATAGGTAGACCAAACAGGTGCCCCTAAATTGTACTTGTGCATCACAGTCAAGTCAGTGAAGTACTTAAGGTAGACCACATCCATGGACGTGCTAATCAGGAATAAGAGGTAACACCTCAACGCGCAATGTCAGTGGTACTCAATTTGTAGATTATTGCCTACGACATCTAAGGCCTACTGCACATGTTTTTTTTAAATAAAGCTTTACCAAAAAACTAAACCTAGAATGAGCACCTCTAGTGTCATGTGTCTCTTGTGCGGCCTCGGTTGGGTCATCCCCCAATTGGGCGACCATCAAGTTGGCGCCTTCCTCTCGAACGGTCCTTATGTGGTCCACTAATCTCCCCTCTGATGGGAAAATGCAAGAAACAAGAGATGTCATCAGATGATGGTCATCTCGCCTATTCTTAGGTGGAAAGTTGACATCTCTGAGTGGATGTAGAGGTAAAATCGTTGCATAGCTCAAATGCCTTTGTTTTTAGAACTTTTTAGAAAATGAAGAGGGAGGAAGACGAAAGACTTTGACGCGACATATGTATTAAAAATGTCCAAAAGTTCATCTCTGGACCACTCGTATCTGTTTTGAGTAAATGATGTTTACGGAGACGTATTTTCAAACACACCTTTATATATACGGAGATGCATGTCTGAATTAATTTTAACATAAAAGAGGTGTATCTTTAATTTGGTCTAAAAAATAGCAAAAATAAATGTGTATGAAAATACACCTTCAAACGCCAAAAATATAATAGGCTTTTCATAATCGTGAGAGATAACGATTAAGGATAGAAAGAATACTGCCCAATATAAATTGATTTACTAGGCCGTTGTAGTTAGCTGTTAGCCCGGCCCATGAAGCTGAAAAGATAATAAAATTCCAATAAATAAAAAATTCTCTATCCTATATCTTTAAATATATTATCAAAATACATTATCAATGTGAATAATTATTTAAAATAAATATTTAAAAATTTGTTTTACGGAGTTACTAAAAGTTGAAACTTAAAAAATTGTGTAATGGTTTTTGTGTATAAATAAAGA